CGATTCTATCAGATTCCTCTCGTTCGTACTCTCTGCTATTTTATAGAAAAACACACGCTTTGTTTCTTTTGTCTCACTGATGCAGGAACATTCTACTTCGATTATATCTAATATTAATTTTGCTTGTCCGAATAATGCAGGTGTATTCTACTTTCACCGACAGCATATGGTCATTTCGCTTGTCTGATTAATTCAGACCGATTCTACTTTATACGATAGAAAGCTTATTTCACTTGTCTGATTAATTCAGACCGATTCTACTTTAGACGATAGGGAGCTTATTTCGCTTGTCTGATTAATTCAGACCGATTCTACTTTATATGATAGAAAGCTTATTTCACTTGTCTGATTAATTCAGACCGATTCTACTTTAGACGATATTGAGCTTATTTCGCTTGTCTGATTAATTCAGACCGATTCTACTTTATACGATAGAAAGCTTATATCACGTGTCTGATTAATTCAGACTAATTCTACTTTACACGATGCAAAGTTTCTTTCACTTACCCGTACTTAATTTAGATACATTTTATTTTACATAATGCAAAATTTCCTTTATTCGTGTAATTAATTTACAGTGATTTTACGTTTACATTGTACAAATCTCGTTTTACTCGTCCGAGCGTTTCGCACGATACGAATGTTATTCCAGTTGTCTCATCGTTGCTGGACCTCTCCAATTTCATCGAGCATACGTAACACGACTTCATTTTGACCGAGCGCGGCACAGATATTTCCATTCTATATTATATTAATCACGCGCGACATTAATCTCTCCTGATCTGTGGACGTGTGCATTCCGCCTCACCGGTTACAACGAGACATTCATTTCACTTATGCGATTACCAGCGCAATCCCTTCTGCTTCACTAATCCACAGCGAACTTCATTTCGGTTTGTTGCCTTCCGCGGAAGCCCGGTTCTGCTCCGTCGATCCCATATATTCTTACATTTCTTTTGTCTTGGCCTGGCTCTCTAGTGCAACGACTCGTTCTACCTTATCGATTCTATTGACATTTTATTTTAGTTGTTCCGTTAATATTTCAACGAGTCTATTCGAGGACATGGGTCCTGTTTGAATCGTCTCGCTTCGCTGTTTATTCGTGTCTGATTAACGTTGTGTGTTCACCGTTCTATTCATTCGATTTTCTTAGTTGCGTATTGACCTCATTTCGCTCGTCTGATTGATGACCGACCTGTTCTACTTCCGTAAATACTTTTGCATGTGTGCACGGAGTCATATTCATTGGACGGTTGATGTTTCGTTTATTCGACTCGTCTGATTGTAGATTACACTCTGCTGCATTTGATTAATTCTTATATTAAACAATTCTACTATTAATAAATTGTTGGACTGGTATTATATATTGGTATATATTTTGTTTGGTTCATGACATAGTAATATTCGTGTTAGGTTATTGATCACGTTTCAGTTTCATTTGATTTGCCTGACCAATGTGCGATCTACTCTACTTCGTTCATTGCTAATAAACTATTCCGACAATAAATTAATTATTCTTCCATTGCTAATAAATTATTCCACCACTGCTGATATATTATTCTTCAATTTCAGATTAATTATTTCGTGACACTGGCCCAACGGCAATATTTGTCTGATCAATATACAGCCTATTCTACTTGATCGGGTTTAATGACACACTGACCCCATTCTACTTGTCTTATCAGCCTTCGATTTATTTTCCGCGGTTCTTTCTTTCCATGGCTGACCGAATCGGAAAACATTTGTACGAAATTGTTCAATCGAAATCCAATTAGTAAGATCACAAACAATAGAGAAAGATGTCATTGATAAAATCACGAAATCGTTAAAATTCCAGATATGTTATTTATCACTAAATCAACTTTATCAGGACTAACACAACGACGCGTCGATTTAAGAAAATTAAACATTGACAAAGTTCAAATCATAGAAATTAATTATGGATATATTAAATATCGAATTTAAATATTTCTATAAATATGAAGTATCGATGGAAAATATTTTAGGAAATATCGCGAAGATGGAAATTAAATATTCGCATAAATATCAAAGATCGAAATGAAACGTATCGATAAATACGAACGATTCGAATTAAATATCTCAACAAGTATCCAACGTATAAACTAAACGTTCCAGCAAACATTCAACAATTTTTAATTCCGAGCACCGTGACACGCAAATGGTCGGAAAATCGAAATCGTCACCGGAATACCAAATCCGCGAAATTCCGCGAAAACGAAGTCACGACCGCTGTGTACACGGCTGCAAAATTGGCCGAGGGTATTTTCTGAAATTCGAAGGGGTTCGGCCAGCCCCGGAAACCGTATAAATTGGCGCCATTACACGCGTATGTGTGACCGTGTGTGTGCCACGTGCATTTGATGGAAGAATTTCCCTCCGCGAAACTGAAGTGAAAACGGGAAGGAGGGAGAAAGAGGGGCTTAGGGGAGAGATCGTAGCGACGATGACGGGAATGGAGAGGATATAATGGAACCGTCACATGCATTGTTAGGGCGGACACCATGGCGGCCGATTGCGGTGTAAACTGTCCGCGGCTAGATGACTGCGCTTTCACAACGGAATTAATTGTGACACACCGTTTATACGAGCCGGTGGTCGCGCGCCGCGTCGCGCGGCATCGCGTTCGATTAACCAAACACCAATTAATCAAACTTTCAATTATTCCGATAAGAGAAACCGCCGCTTTTATCGATCGCGCCGGCCTCCGGCCACGCGATTTCCGCCATTTCGATCCCCCGATTCGATTGCAAGGCTGTCGATCGATTTTCCAGGATTATTGGCTTGGTTAATGTTTGTTATTACTGTGGTTTATTTCAGTTTAATAAACGATCGACGCTTGTATTTGACTTTGTCCTCGAGAGCGTTGTTTATTTCTTCAAATATAATAATAGCATGTATTTATTGCGCCGTGTTTGCGTTTTACAAATTTTCGACACTCGTTTCTCACATTGTTTACGATAATTATTTATTTGTTAAATGTAGGGCGACACTTAACGGTGTCTTAGTTATTTGACATTATTTATAGTAGACGAGCAAATATTAGGAACATTTAATAATATTAAAATAGCTCATAGCATTATCCTCAATTTGTCGAGAGATTTTTCAATTGCGCGTACGGGAATTTTGATTTATTGTTAAGATCAGCGGAATGGTGAGATTTGCAAGTGAGGGATCAGAGTGTTAGGCGGGACGGAGGCGGAGGAATTGGTTGGATGAGCGAGAGCAGCTCTGTGTATGAGGCTTTCAGTGGAGGAGATCAAGCTTTAGTCGGACGAGTGATGCGATTCTTGCAGTGGAATGATAAAATGAAGCGACCTGGTGTTGGTCGAAAACGTGAAATGAGGCCTGTGTACGATCAGCCGAGTCAAATGATTCAGAGGACAGGGAATTGAGACTATGTGTCCAATGGAATAAGTCGAACGCTGGCCAGGCGAGTAAAAGAAGTGAAATATTTGATAGACGAGGGAAATGGATTATACTTGTCAGATCAGGAAAGTAGAACAACCATTAGTCAGACTAGTAGAATTAGTCCGACACTAGTCAGACCGTTCGAATGTATAAAAATTGAACAGACTAGTAGAATATGTTTGACATTGATAATCAAGTAGGATAAATTTAATAAGGAGAAGATATCCAGTAATAGTCAAACAAATGAAATACCTGAAATGGTAGCCAGAAAATATATATCAAATACTAGTCAGACAAGTAGAGTATATCTATCATTGAGCTGACAAGTAGAATATATCTACCATTGTTCGGAAAAGTAGATTATGTCTGACATGACTAGACAAGTAGAATATAATCTAACGTTGTTCAGACTAGTAGAGTGTGTTTGACATTGTTGAGACAAGTAGAATGCATCTATCATTATTCAGACAACTAGAATAAATCCAATAATCTTGAGACACGTGGAATAAATGAATCATTGCCCAGGCCAATAGAATAAATCCAGTAATTGTTAGTTGAATAAAATAACCCCAATAGTTGTCATACGTGTGATATAAATCAAGCAGGTGGAATAAATCAGACAGTAGTCAATCTAGTAGAATAAATCAAAAATTGTTCAGCCATGTAGAATAATCCCAACGAATGCTAGACAACTAGATTGAATCCTATCATTGTCCAACAAGTACAATAAATCAAACAACAGTCAGACCAGTACAATAATTCCAAAAACGTCAAGCTTGTAAAATAAATCAGCCATTGTTCTGGCAGCGATAATAAATCAAGCACTGGTCAGACAAGTACAATAAATTTACGTCACCGGAATTCATGGTGGCCCCGGAAACGGTTCTACATGATCAAACAAAAACAGTTTTACAATTTCCATATCTGCGTGTACGTATGTAACTATATTATTTTGTATTTTTCCACGGAAAATCTGAAGACGAGTAAAAATTGATCATTGTCATTTAGTGAACTTTCAAAGATTATATAAATATTTTTTTATTTCACAAAATAGCTGATCTACGTTTCATTACTCACTTTCACGTTATAGATTCCTGTCGATTTTTGCGAAGCCTATTGTGTTTCAACTACATGTAAATAATTGAAATTGACATTATTAATTATCAACCAAATTAATAATATATATTCCACAGCACTATTTATTTTCGATGTAAGATAATTTCAATCATAATCGATGAGACTACGCACATACACAATTTCAATAAACAACACAAAATTAAACACCTATATAAAAACGCTTAAATAAAACCATCATAGAAACTAAAGTGGTCGCTGTCAGCTATCTATAGTAAATCCAGCCACAAGACCGATGAAAAAAGAAATGTCGCCGGAAGTAAACAAAATCCGTTGTCCCGTTCGTTTGTTCGCAAGCTCGGTATCGGTTCCTTATCGGCTTTGGCGCGCGTTTGCATGGAAAACGCTCGACTACAGCGTCGCCGGGAGATCGATACATCGCCAGAAAACGGAAATCTAAATAAAGAAACGGCTCGCTGACAGAAGGAATCACTTGCCTGAGGCGAGTCCATGAGCAACGGCGCTGTGAGATCGGCCTCCTCGTCGGTTTCCGGAAAAATCGGGCTGTCGTTCAGCACCGTTGTCAGCATGTTCACCGTGGAGACTGTCACCAACAGCAGAAACGCTGTCTCGACCAGGGAACACTTGGTCATCGGCTGACAGTTCAGAATGCTCGATCCAAGGGGCAATAAAATGGCGGCACGAGCGCAATCCACCATCGCTTGGTGGAACAATAATCCTTGCGACCACCTGCGACACAAGGAGCAAAAGAATCTTCGTGTTAGATGCGACGGCGGTCGGCCTATCTTCGATCATTAACGCGTCGATGGTAGCGCGACTCTTCCGCTAGGACGATTAATATAAGCAACGGATGTGTAATTACCGATTTTAATGTTTTGGTGTGGTTTAAATGGGGAAAGATTGCTTTTAATTGGATTAGGTAAAGTTCTGATGAATTAAATGCTCCTTGAGGAGTTATTGGAATGAGACTGTTGTGTACGGACAGTAGAGTAAGACTTCTTTGTACAGACAGTAGAGTAAGACTTCTTTGTACAGACAGTAGAGTAATATTATTTAGTGCAGGCATTAGAAGAGAGAAGACTACTTGATATAGACAGTGGAATAAGATTTTTTTGTACAGACAGTAGAGTAATATTATTTAGTGCAGGCAGTAGAAGAAGACTACTTGATATAGACAGTGGAATAAGATTTTTTTGTACAGACAGTAGAGTAATATTATTTAGTGCAGGCAGTAGAAGAAGACTACTTGATATAGACAGTGGAATAAGATTTTTTTGTACAGACAGTAGAGTAATATTATTTAGTGCAGGCAGTAGAAGAAGACTACTTGATATAGACAGTGGAATAAGATTTTTTTGTACAGACAGTAGAGTAATATTATTTAGTGCAGGCAGTAGAAGAAGACTACTTGATATAGACAGTGGAATAAGATTTTTTTGTACAGACAGTAGAGTAATATTATTTAGTGCAGGCAGTAGAAGAAGACTACTTGATATAGACAGTGGAATAAGATTTTTTTGTACAGACAGTAGAGTAATATTATTTAGTGCAGGCAGTAGAAGAAGACTACTTGATATAGACAGTGGAATAAGATTTTTTTGTACAGACAGTAGAGTAATATTATTTAGTGCAGGCAGTAGAAGAAGACTACTTGATATAGACAGTGGAATAAGATTTTTTTGTACAGACAGTAGAGTAATATTATTTAGTGCAGGCAGTAGAAGAAGACTACTTGATATAGACAGTGGAATAAGATTTTTTTGTACAGACAGTAGAGTAATATTATTTAGTGCAGGCAGTAGAAGAAGACTACTTGATATAGACAGTGGAATAAGATTTTTTTGTACAGACAGTAGAGTAATATTATTTAGTGCAGGCAGTAGAAGAAGACTACTTGATATAGACAGTGGAATAAGATTTTTTTGTACAGACAGTAGAGTAATATTATTTAGTGCAGGCAGTAGAAGAAGACTACTTGATATAGACAGTGGAATAAGATTTTTTTGTACAGACAGTAGAGTAATATTATTTAGTGCAGGCAGTAGAAGAAGACTACTTGATATAGACAGTGGAATAAGATTTTTTTGTACAGACAGTAGAGTAATATTATTTAGTGCAGGCAGTAGAAGAAGACTACTTGATATAGACAGTGGAATAAGATTTTTTTGTACAGACAGTAGAGTAATATTATTTAGTGCAGGCAGTAGAAGAAGACTACTTGATATAGACAGTGGAATAAGATTTTTTTGTACAGACAGTAGAGTAATATTATTTAGTGCAGGCAGTAGAAGAAGACTACTTGATATAGACAGTGGAATAAGATTTTTTTGTACAGACAGTAGAGTAATATTATTTAGTGCAGGCAGTAGAAGAAGACTACTTGATATAGACAGTGGAATAAGATTTTTTTGTACAGACAGTAGAGTAATATTATTTAGTGCAGGCAGTAGAAGAAGACTACTTGATATAGACAGTGGAATAAGATTTTTTTGTACAGACAGTAGAGTAATATTATTTAGTGCAGGCAGTAGAAGAAGACTACTTGATATAGACAGTGGAATAAGATTTTTTTGTACAGACAGTAGAGTAATATTATTTAGTGCAGGCAGTAGAAGAAGACTACTTGATATAGACAGTGGAATAAGACTTTTTTATACAGACAGTAGAGTAATATTATTTAGTGCAGAGAGAGAGAGAGAGAGAGAGAGAGAGAGAGAGAGAGAGAGAGAGAGAGAGAGAGTAGGAGAAGACTACATAATATAGACAGTGGAATAAGACTTTTTTGTGCAGACAGAAAGTAAGACAGTACAGTAAGATTATTTAGTGCAGACAGAGTAGGAGAAGACTACATAATACAGACAGTGGAATAACTTTCTTGTACAGACAGTAGAAGAAGATTATTTAGTGCAGACAGTGGAATAATATTGTCCATAGGAGTGGCAGTGGAATAGTACTATTTCAAACAGACAGTAGATTAAGGCAGCTGTTTCATCGATTTTAAAGTAACGTGGTTTTAACTGAAACGTTTTTATAAAACGAGCGAAACTTTCAAAATGAAATGTAAAATGATTATGACAAATAGACGCATTCGATACGAATTTGAAAATTTGTATAATTGATTGAACCTGTCAAAAGGAATTTTCAAATTATTGCAATAGATTGAATCCGTTCGAACGAATTTTAAAATGATTAGTATAGATTGAATCCTTCCGAGCTAATCTTAAAATGATTATAATAGATTGATGCTCTCCAAATGATATTTTAAAATGATGAGAATAGATTGAAACGTCCAAAATAAATTCTGATATTATTATAATAGATTGAAGCTTTTAGAAATAATTGAATGTCTTGTGGCTATAATAGAACAAAGTTTTTGGTATTAGGGATCCATAAATTGAGTTTGATAAAGTGAAGCTTCTAAAATTAACGATTTTTTAATTTGGATTGATTAAGGGGTTGACAGGTGATTCATGAAAGAGAAAATATCAGTTCTGGCGATCGTTTGATGAAGGACATTTTTAGTGTGTCTGATGATGGACATCAATTTTATTACATCTAAAAGGAAGCTCGTAAAATTGGTGATCTCTAGTTTGAGCACGTATTATAGCGGAACAATGAGATGGTTTCAGATAATTGGGTCGAGAAATCGTTCAGAAAGCAGAATACCTCACCGAGAAATGAACGCAATTATTAAAATTTTCATCACCATTCATTTTAAAATAAAAAGATCTATTTAATTGCACTTATCCTATTCAGAATAATATTAAGCATTCATTCAACAATTATAGCAATTTTTTAATAATTGTCACAGAACGATAAATTGGAGTTGATCAAGATGTTGAAAATTCTTTAAACTTGAAAATTTTTATTTTACTATATATAGTAACTTTTACTATAACAAAAGGAATGCAGTGCTTAAATAAATCATTTAGAAAATGCCTTCTAAAAATTCTCTAAAATTGGAAACATTCTTGTTTAATTAAAACAGTAAAATGTACTGTACTATACACAAAATGGAGCTTGTAAAAATGACAGATTTTTAGTACAAGCTTTTGCTATAACAAAAAAATACTGTGCTTAAATAAATTATTTAGAAAATCAGTATTATAAATTTTCTAAATAGGATATTTTTTAATCCATATTCAAAGGAGAAAATTAGCTGTACTGTAGCTAAACTAAAGCTGGTAAAGACTCGGTATTATTCCAGTGAAACAATGCGGTGGTTTCGATAGATCGTGGTCGGTGAAGGGGTTGGGAGGTCGCCGGGTATAGTTTGTTCAGACAATATTCCCGGCGATGGGCACTCATGGGAGGGTGGATCGATCCGGTAAATCTTTGGTCGAGATTACCTGCGTAACTGTCGTTTAGCCAGGATGAGGGCCATGAGAAGAAAGTTCGCCCCCATGCCGAGGGCGCCGAGGCTGAATATAACTGTCGCCTCGGTGGCGCCGCCCGGGTGACACTGGAAAGACTTCGATGCGTTCGACGACACGTTACCAGAGGCGCCGATCCCGAACCTCAAATTGGCCCCTATCATCGCCAACGATTCACCTGCGCCACAAAATATCAGTCGTGATTAATCACATCTTTGTACAGAATCGAACTTTCTCACGGTACAATTGTCAACACCGACAACTTCCTTCGAAGTTCGAGAATTTCTCGTGTCGGAACTCGATTCACATATTAATTCGAAAGTTTGCGAGCTAGTTTGGTCATGTTTGAAGTGTGTGCGGGATTTTTCTTTCTGCAACAATGCTGATTTGGTACGAAGTTATGGCAATACAACGCATAGGAGCTCCAAGAACCTCTTTGGAGCACTTTAGAATTTTTTTTTAAAGCGAAATTATCGATCATGGTAATTTGTAGCTTCGTGAGTCTATTTGCACATGTTTGAACAATGTAGTGGATTTTTTTTCAAGTGGTAATGTTGATTTGATCGAAAGTTATGGCACATCAAACTAAGCGCTCTTAAAGCTTCTTCGGAGTCCTTTAGAATTTTTTAAAATAAAAATTATCGAATATAAAAATTAGCAAATTTGTGAGTTTCTTTGCATATGTTTGAACAATATAGAGAACTTTTTTCAAGTATTAAAATTGATTTGATCTATAATAATGGCGGATCAAAGTCCTCCAGAATTGTTTTCTTTTTTCATCACAGATATTAAACACAATAAATTGCAACTTTGTACATGTATTTGTACATGTTCCAGGAATACGCATGATTTTTTTTAGATGTTCATGTCAATTCGGAATAAGGTTATAGCAGATCGTAGGAACATTGTCGTACAAATTGTTAGTTGCTATAAAAGCATTAGTGTTCGCGTCTAATTATTAATCAACTTAGAAACGTATTTTACTAACGAAACAGTAATAAACGCAATGATTAACGGTACATGTACCATGACGACGTCGTTACATGTACCGCAAGTGCTGTTTATTTTACTGTTTGTTTGCTACAGAGCATTGATCGCCGCCACTCGTACACAATAAAACCGCACGAAATTCGCATAATCATTACCCGATCCGTCGCATCGTGAGTTAATTGCAGATCGTTGTACAAATCTCCACGTTGCTAGATTCAATTTAATTTATTCGTACAGCAAAATTGCCACGAAAGTCAATCGTAAAATTTTACATACATGTAATTATTATTATTATTAACGATCACAAATTGAATATCGTTCATGGACGTTGATTAATTTTCTCAGAGTGTAAATAGTTCAAAACCACAAGATCAGAAGATTTACTATAAAATAATATATTCTAACTGAAACGAAGTTAAAATTAAAATCGGATAATAAAATAATCGGAAAATCGGAAAATAATTTGAATAATAATTTTAGATATAAATTTGGCTAATTTTAGCATACTTCGTAGTTTAGTATACTCTGTAGTTCAGTATACTGTGCACCTTCAAACATTTCATTTCTGTGCATTTTCATTTGGTTCGTTCGCCGCCCTGAACAAATACAAAAACATGATGTTCCGATTTTCCAGAATTTGCCCAATTTCTGCTGTTAAATTAATAGTCCAGAAACCGTGGTAACATTTGTCAGGTGAACGTACAGCGCATAGGCTGCCGCGGCCGTTACATTAAAACATAATATCGCATCGTATTTTTAGCACGGCGAGCTGTTCATAAATATCTGGCCACGGCTTTAAAAAAAGGTTTCCCGTCCGATTACCCTCCCCTGCCCCCTCCGGCAAGCATTTAATCGCTATTTAGGATTACGACGATAAGTCACGTGGGAATTATGCAGATTAAAATTTCAAGGATGCGGCGTTCGGTAAAAGAAGACCGACGTTTCGCGTGCATCAACACGATCCCGTGAAGTGGGTATAGATGCGATGCGATCCTTCCAGATAAAGCACGTTCGGAAAAGTGACCAACCAGCGGTTTCGAATTGCCTTCATCCACCGCGGCAATATAATTAAGAATCTAGCCCACTGCGCGTCGCCATTTGCCATTAGCTTTTATTATCCCGATAAAGCCTTTCGTTACTGTAAATACAATTCTTCTATATAGTTATTTCTGAAGTTTTCTTGTCGTTGAAAGCGCAATTTTTGTACGTGAAGTAATTATTGTTGAAATAGCTCAAAGTCGCGTTATTTATTTTAATAATTTATTATAATAATATATATATAATATAATAATATAATATATAATAATTTTTAATAAACATGTAATGGTAAAATAAAATATAAAATACAGGCGATTTAATTTACTTAATTTTATTTAATTTATTTAATTTATTTAATTTATTCGATTGCTATTATTGAAGGAAAAAGTGCCATTTTGTTTTTCTAGTACCATTCTCATAAATTCAGTCGCATGTATACTAATGTCTTAAACAATTTTAAACATCAAATTGCAAAAAGTCATCAATTGTACCAAATATGGCGTAGGTAACCAAAAATGGCTCATCATAAAATATATTTTCCTGGAAAACAGAAAAGAAACACACAATCTCCTTTTCCCCAGCAATTATTACCTATATAAAAATTCGTTAGAAAAAAACGTTGCCACCAGCGAACAACTGAAACAATTTTTAAATCTACGTACGTTCAAAAAAATGTTTACGCTAGATGTCAACTAACAAATATTGAAAAATAGCGAAACAGTGAAGGTGGAAATGATTAGCCTAGCAAAACAAGTGTTAAAAACGAGAACCACGATTTTTGTTTTAATTGGACAGTTCTGTACAGTTTGTCGAATCAATTGATACAACGTTTCGGAATCGCTGCTAGGAGTTCGTAGGTCGATACGTTGACCTAATCCACTATCTCGTTATACTAGCGAGCAACGGAGGCTATTGACCTGCCCGACTGTTTCGGCCGGACAGTTTTATTCTACCAGTTGAACCAAAGATCGATCCTTTCGAACTTGCAAAGCACTCCTGCGGCAACGTTAGCGTCTCCGGCAAGCCGATGGAATGGAACACTTCCGTTGAAGTATAGAAGGGCAGGTCGATACCTCGGCTGACCAGTAGAATAAACTCGCGTGGCGACGGCAATGGGAGACACAGGTCGTTGCATAGGGCAAAACACGGGTCCATTCTACCGGCTACGTCGTCGACGTCGGTTTATTCTGCCGATCTGTTGAAACATTGAATCCGCGTAGTAGCCTCGGTTAAATAGGTTCGTTCTACCGGCACGACCGCCGCCCGGTTTATACGAATCTCGTGTTTGCCAGTGGGATTAACGAAATGATCGCGCGGAAGTCTGATTAAAGTGAATGGAGAGCTGTTTCTAGTCACAGTGACGAGAGACGACCGCCGTTTGGGTAAATTGCGGAACAAATCTCGGTTAGAGTCAAGCAGTAGATCTCTTCGGTACGGGTAGCAGAATAAATCTGTGTGGCATAGACAGCAAAATAAATCCTGGTAACGTAGGACAATGAAATGGGACTGTTTTATATAGACTGCGGAACAAGAGATAATGTACACACTGGGATAAGATATAGTGGAACGAAACTATATAATACAGACAATGTTTATTATAATATATTAATTTATTAATTATTATATTATATTATATATTATATTATTTTATTTAGTTATATATTATATTATATATTATTTTATTTTATTTACCTATATATTATATTAAATATTATTTTATTTTATTTTTTTATATACTATATTCTATATTATACTATTTTATTTATTTATATATTATATTATAATATATTATATTAATTTATTAGAAATTATTATAATGTATTAGCATAAATTGGACTGTTTAAGACAGACAGCAGAGTTAGATTGCCTAATATAGATAGGGGAATGAGACTATTTAATGTAGGCATCGGGCCAAGACTATGGAATAGAGTGGAATGAGACGATTTAATACAGACAGTGGAATAAGACTATTTAACGCAGACAATAGAAGCGTGACTGTCTAATACAGATAATGGAGTAAGATTATCTTAAACAAACAGTAGAAAGAGACTGTCTTATACAGACAGTAGAATGACACCGTCTCATACAGACAGTAGAATAAAATTGTCTGATATAGATAGCGAAATAAGATTGTATAATACAGACAGTGAAATAAGACTGTCTTATCCAGACAATAGAATAAATCTGTCTGACGCGACGGACAAGTGGAATAAATCTGTTTAACACAGACAAGTGGACACAGATTTGTCCCACTTATTTGACACAAACAAGTGGAAAAAATAACGCTGTCTAACGACACCACTGGAGTAGACTAATCTGACAGTATCAGTATAATAATTATCAACAATTCTTTTAACTTTCGTATTATTTAAGCTATAATTGCAAACTATAATTTTCAGGTACCATATAATCAATCCAATCTAGATACAAATAAATTTGTCCTCTAAATATTTATAAAACAGAAACCTAAAGAAATATTAAACAACTATCACCTCTCGCCATTAAAAATATTAACAGCACCCCCAAATAATGCCAAAACGAATGACAATGAAATAAAACAACGAACAATGAAATTTGTTCGATGTTCAAACAAATATAAATGAAAGAATTTTAAATAATCTAATACAATAAATTTTTTAACAAACAACTATTTCACTGTGAATTTTTCAAAATAGGGAAATCGTGATAATTTTGTTAAAATTTGTATAAATTATTTCTGAATGAATTTAATAGCTAATAACGCGAGCATGGCAACGTTTAATTTGCAGTCAGATGGAGAGTACGAAAACAATGATATTTATCAAGCATTTAGAGAAATGATATTGAAGAGTGAATTTAAATTGATTTTGATCTGGCAAATGTTTCAGTAGATAAGCTGCCACCGAGTGAATTTTGTTAATAAACCAGATAGTGGCGAGTCAACGAAACGAGCTCTAACACTGTACTAAAGCTTTAATTTCCGCTACAGAATTAAGACGGGTCGTGTCGTCCCATAGCCCCGCGGGGTTCCTAAGAAAGCGGAAGCAATACTATTTGCGATAACAATGCCATTTGTACTTTGGAGAATGAAGTTCTTGTCTCCGCGGAGCCGGGTATGAACTTACGATTGCTCTACTTGCAGTTTGCTTTATTTGTGGTTGGGAATGGGCC